ATTGTATTATACTCACACAATCCACCTAAAATAATGAATTTCTTATTCTCCCAACTCAATAATATTATGGCAGTAGAGCTTCACGGTTAGAAATACAACGAACGTTTTTAATAAAATATGGTCTACACAATGGAAGTACAATGGATCGGACTTATGTTACATTGTCCGAGCGCAACTCAAATTCGCTTTCAAGAACGCTATCAAATAAACATTGTTGCAATTTTATTTTCAGATGCATTTCGTATTTGTTAATGAAACAAAATTTTACACAAAAAATAGACAAAATTCTCTTCATAAATGAATAAAAAACATACTGACGAATTACATATGATGAAATAAACAAAAAATAATGAAATTGAATTTGGATGGCTACAAAGATAGAGGGAGATAGAACAAGGTATGGATTAGGTGAAAGAGGACATGCATAAGAAGACGGTGAATTCAGATATGACGGCTGATAGAGATGTATGGAGGAGTAGTGTACTGTGCCGACAATATCTTGGGACAAGGTCGATGATGCCAGACAAATTGCATACATCTGCAAAGATGTGTGAAAAGTGAACTCATCAATGTAATCACAAACTAGTATCACTTGAGAATTATGAATGATCTGACGATGACATAATTAAAAACTTTACTTTCAAAGTTAATATATTGTTTCATATTATTCGTTACAAAATGCACACCAAAAAAAATTATAACTATACTATTTGTCACCCGTGACTCTGTCCGCACGGAATACTGAATATGCATATATAATTTTATAAAAATCAGTGAAACCGTTTTGAAGACAGAAGAATCTCGATTTAATTTAACATACATATAGAGTATAGTCTGGAAGAACACATAGGCTACTAATTATGTTTTTTTTAAGTCCGCACGGACGGAGTCACGGGCGACCGTTATTATAAGATAAAAGTTGGTATTTGATATAGAATTTCAAAAGATTAAGGGCAATTTAAATAATTGACAAAATTTCATCAAACAGTTTACAATGTTTAAACAAGTACAAAACGGTCTGTATAAATTTTGTTTAATAACTGCCCTCTCTGAGGGAGTTGAATTATAAACGTAATGGGTTAATCAGCAAAGTAAATGACGAGGACTGGTGTTTCATTTGTCCTGTTAAATTGAAGCAAATTTCTAAATTACTTTTGTCGAACTCGAATCATTTCTATTTTATTTACATTTATATTAAAATGTTATTACGTTTGTCTACAATTTTAATTATGTCATTCATCATTACGATTACATTTTCATTATTAAATTTTGTTTAATTTAAAATATATACATTATATTTAATATTGTCAATACTTCAAAATTATTTATGCTCTTTTTGATAAAATGCATGTTCAATTCATCAGATTGCTATGAAATTTTAGTAGGATGTTCTCTCATTTCCATATTTTCGTCTGTTCCCGTGTCAAGGTGTTAAATGTGAGATTATGTCAAAGTGATATCGCTTATTTGTTTTTAAATATTATAAGGTAGCAAACGAGCATACCACCATCTTAATTCGCCAAAATAGCTAAGAGACTCCTGCCCATAGCCATCCAAAATTGATGATGCGATGCCTACCTTTAATGGATGAGACGCATAGAAACATAATATTTCCCATTCCAATGTTTCCCCTCATCCGCCAAATTCTCTACCCTTTCCTTTTAAGAAATGGTGGAAAGGTGAAGAGAGCTAAAAATGACTTCCGAAACACACAATTATTCCACTACAAGCCTGTCTTCTATGGTCGTAGTATGTCACAGGGCGAGCCAGTCCTTTTATCACTTATAGCCTATAATTAGATTACAATTTTGCTGTAATGTGAAGTTAAGCTAAAAAAGATAACGATGATGAGGATGAAAATATTGATGTAAGTAAAGAAAATTATATTGATGAAGAAGATTTTACATCATAAACAATAGCAATTTGCGTAACGCCACAAACTCAAGAACACAAGTCTCTTCAATTTTAAGCAGACATTGAAAAATTACTAAACATTTGATTGATGGGGTCTGGCACGTTTAAAAAACGATTTCTCAGCTTAATTTTTCTCTCGTCAGATGACGACGGAGCTAGTGTGTGATGGATCGAGTTTTACGAAAATAAGGCCCTGTTTCTGATTATTTTAACGTATTTGTTAACTAATTTGAATACCACACGTAATGAAAGCAGAACTTTAAAAAGTTTCTGACCATTGTATAATCTATTTTTAAATAATTTCAAAAAATAAATTCCAGCTTTCCTAAGAAAAAGAGTCTTGACAGACAAACGGACGGACAACAAAGTGATCCTATAAGGTTTCCGTTTTTTTCCTTCCAAGGCACGGAACCCTAAAAAGAAGCATCTTAATTCTCCGTTATAATTTTTTATATTGAATAAGCTAGCGCTTGACCACAATCTCACCTGATTTTAAGTGATGGGCGAATGATAGAAATTTAGACGTTTCAGAAGAATCTTCTAAAAACGTTGAAGAAACTTCTTAACAGTTTTGAAGACAGAAGATTAGAGTTTAGAACTATCAATCTACTTTTTATAAATTTACTACCTGTCGCGCGCTTCTCCGTTCTCGAGGAATAAAAAAAATCTTACTTGGTAACCCATATGTTCTTCCAGGCTATGTACTACATCTATGCCAAATTTAAGTAAGATCCATGCACCGTTCTGATGATACATTCTAACTAACATTCATCCATCCAAACATCTTCAACCTGCCCTTTACCCTACGGCACAGTATGTACTACTCCTCCATACATCTCTATCAGCGTCATTTGAATCTAACCCCTTCTTACGCATATCCACTTTCACACAATCCATCCATACTTAGTTGACCATATAATATTTGAAAGATTTAAATCAAATTGTTTTAGCAATGAAAAATACGAAGCCTGTCCTTTCGATGTTTAAACATGTTTTTTGATCGGCACATCAGACTCAGATTAACAGCTCCCTCTGCGGGAGAAATTGCATAATTTCTCATATGAATTATGCATACTCAGGGATTGCGAACATCAAAATCGCGTCACATCAAAGGATACATTACGATACACAAACATTTTTTTATCCCATGTCCATCAGTCAACGTAAAATAGCCTTTGTCTTTACTCTATTCATCATGAATAAATTCATACCAAAGCTTAAATGAAGACCTTTTCCTTATTTATGCTTGGTAACTCGTAAAAACGTAGAATTTTATGGATAAACAAATGTGTAGTTTTTTTAATTTTATGACCTGGTAACCATAGACCTTTAGGTCATATCTTATTTGGAAAATGTTCATTATTTGTTGACAACGATCAACGTAATGAACATTTTCCAACGCATTGGTATCATGAAGTTCACTAGCCAGCACAAGTCTTTGAATTAGGAAACTTTGGCAATCGAAAATAATATGGTGGATCGTTCCTTTGTCAAGCAGAAGGAACGATCCACCATCACAAATGTGTAATTTGAAATAAGGTCATGGATTAATTTCAAAGAAAAAACAAAAAAAACATCAGTTTCTCTAAGTAATTATGATAACGATTTGTTTGGTATGGCACTATAATTTTTGTTTTTACACATGTAATTACAAAGTTATTTGTGAAACAAATATTTGGTACAAATTGGTATCGTAGTTATAGATAATTATATCAGTTTCGGAGGCTTCATAAAACTAACGAGCTACATGGTTATAAGATAAAGCAAACAGATTTTTTTACAAGCTCTAAATTGTATTATTTATTTTTTATTAAATTTTAACAGTCAACACATTTTATTGACTTGTAATTTGCAGGTCCTGGGTTCGAATTCCACCATGTACCAATTTGTTTCTCGATTTACATATGTTCATTTATTTTGTTCTGACATTGAAGGAAAATATCGTGACGCAACCTGCACATATTTAAGAAGAAATTAAAAGTTATGTGTGAAGTCAACCGGCACTGGGCCAGCGTGGTTGACTATGGCCTAATCATTGTCATAGGGTAGGCTCCGAGTCTTTTGGTAGGGACATCTGATACTGATGATATTTTATAGAACACTAAAAATTCCTTGTATTATCTTGCCACTAGCAATAAAGAAATTAATTAAAACGTTAACTTTTTTGATGCACATTTTAAATTTTCTAGATTCCTTAATTTTCATTCTTCGTGAGCTTATGCGCAAAAAACTTTACAATTAGCGAGTTTACCGCTTACAAAGAAAGTTGTTGAAGTAACTCGGGACCATTAAGGCTTCTTTTAGAATAAGCGAACGGACGGGGCGTGCAACTTTTAATGTCTTCCGAGGGGAATTCCCTTTTGTTGCGGTCACGGTTGGTTGGGAAAATAAAAAACACGAATTGATGTATGACGCAGCTGTGTACCGAATTTTTCATAGCTTCACTGTAGATAATATCTCGACATTTGTAATATGAGCTCGCTATTCAATGTTTTATAATGTATCAGGCATTATTTACATTTATCTTTGATATGTTTTTATAAGAGAGACAGGTGTTTTAGAAAATCGTCAAATAGATGACACGAGGTCTGTGAATATCCTTTGGGTTATGGGCGCGATTTATGTTGTTATTTTTTTTCTAGCATTTTATTCGAACAGACTATTTACCATCTCTGTTTTGTAATCTTCGGTAGTATAAATAATTAAGGCAATTTAAAAAAGTTGAATCGTAAAAGACTTATAACTTTTTTGGAATATCAAAAGATTGAGGAATTACCTTTTGATGCAGTGTAATTACTTAAACACTGCAACATTACTTAATTTTTCTAAAACAAAATATTTTGTCTAACATATACGTAGCCTAAGTCACTTCTTATTACATCAGCTACCTTTCAATAATAGTCCTGTCAAAATCGGTCAGGTTCAGAGATTAACCGCAACAAACAGACAGACGGACAGACAAACAAACATTGTAAAAAATGTTATTTTGTTGTATGTACCATATGTACGGTTATTTCAATATTACATATAGACACTCTAATTTTATTTATATGTATTTATTTTAATAGAAAAATTCTTTGTTTCAGATGATGTACCAAATGCATCATAAGCAGCCAAGGATATATATAAAGGCGTATAACGAATGGATGAGGCGGGGATAAGTGGTGCTGAAACAAGTAATGTGGAAACTAGAAATGCCGACGACCTACTTTTTGGGTTATCGACTCAAAATTGGCATCGTCGTGATTGTCATCATGGTGCTTGGATTTTTTAATGAGAGCCAAGGTACGTTACGCTACAAGATTGGAGATGTATGCTTTCGTTTTGAGTTGATTAGCATAGAACACATCCAGATATTTGTCTGGGAAATTCAGCATTGTATAGACCTAAAAAGGAGTCGTAGGTTTGTGATTAGGCAGCAGAAACTCACGTAAATTATAATGATCCATGAATTGTAATCCAAACAGAACGAAACTGTCCAAGATCCAAATAGTAACGTGTGTGAAGGGGCTAGCTAAAACCAGCGCAGGAACGACCTTGGTCGTCCCTGCGTTGCTGAGCTTGCCGCCTTTTGACACATTTCTTTACTGATTTTTTTATATTGAATTTGTTTATGTACTTTTAAGGGGCAATAAAAGTATATCTATTATACCTGTTATAGTAGTTAATACCCAGCTTTAATTAAAAATAAATATTTCTGAACATATGCATTAAATTTTGTGAGTCGTATCGTATGTCTTGAAATAGGTGATGACTATAACAGATAAAGCAGAAAGTGGACGTTGTTTCGTATCGAGAGGTAAAAAAGATGATACAATAGAAGCAAGACTGGAAATTGGTCCATCAACAAAGACGCCATAGTTCTTAAACTTCAAACAGGTATATTTAAAAGAAATAAAATCTAACGAAGATAATAAAGGCAAAATAGAGTTAATACTGTTGTCCTAAATAATTTTCATTTTCTTAAAATTCTCAGTTTTCCCTTTTAATACCAATTTTGGGGGATAATAATACATTGATGTAAAAGGCTGAAGCCAATAGTGCTCAGACCTTAAACAGACGTTGCCAAATGTTTGTTTCATTGGAACAAACATTTATTACGTAATGTGTTTATCCCGTAAATAGATTTAGGCCCAATTAGTCTGTAAACTTTGGCACATGGTAAAGACGTAGTTTCTCATTTTTCTAGCAATTGCCAAACATGTTTAACAATAAAAATAATAATTAAAAACAAAATGATTACACTCCAATTAGATGCCAATATGAATTTGGATTATATTGTATTGTTCAAAATAACATAAGCAATTTTATCTCGCTAGTGAAAGCCACACAGAAGACAGGCGTAAGTGGAACCAATTCCGCGTTTCGTCTGATGAGTGTGCGTCCCGGAGGCCTAATTTAGTCCTCTTTCCCTTCCCACCCTTTTTCTTATAAGAGAAATATAGGAAGTGGATGTGGACTTTCCGGATGCGAGATTGCATGGGACTGGAAGATATTTTCTTTCTGTGCATCCTCTCTTCCGTCGATTAAAGGTAGGCAACGCATATGCAATTGCGGATGTCTATCGTCAACGATCACTTCGCTATTTCAGTGATTTCAGGTGGCCGCTCGTTCGTTTGCCTCCTTCTGATATAAAAAAGAAAAAAAAAGAAATTCCACCTTAATTCATCTAAATGTTGTGATGCGACATAAACTTTTTAATCTCAACATTTAGTGTAGTCGTTATTAATATAACTAGCTTAACGAAGGAAGCCTCACACGTAGCCGCCACTTGACCTAACATCCTCATACTAAGCCTCTTAAAGTTTTAAAATGAAAGTGTTCGCGGCAAAAACTTAGCAGGCTTGCGAGAATTTAAAGCGACTCCTTTGACTCCGGCTTAGATTATGCTAAATCCCTGCGACGAATGAAAGTCAACACCGTTATTATGCCTGTACACCTAAAAGTGCAGTAATGCTTTGGTGCACGAATTTAATCCATGTTTACGTATTTTAAATATTTATTTTTAAATATTTAGGGTTCCGTACCTCATTCGAAAAAACGGAACCCTTATAGAATCACTTTGTTGTCCGTCCGTCTGTCTGTCAAGACACTTTTTCCCAAAAACGCGTGAAGGTATCAGGCTAGAATTAAATTTTTTTAACAATTTGTGGTCATGAAAATTTAAAATTTATATCTTTAATTTTTCTTTGACTTATAGATATACAAAGTACTTGCAAATATCTTTTAAAAAACTTACAATAGTTAAATAAAAGTCGAAATTTTGCTCCTAAATTAATTCTTAATTCAACCTTTACTTTGTTAAGGTTTTTTTTATCCAATATACGTCTACCCTCGTTAAATTTACTTTTTTATCGTTGACATGTTTAGGTCCATTAAACGTAGACTCAAACTTTTTGCCATCTTAACTTGTAAAAAGGGGTCGTGTGTTCGAAATTATGGATATTCACCTGCCATGTACCCACATTAGAGCTCAGATGTTGTCGCAGGCCCGAATAATTTCTTAATCAAGCTGCCTTTGTTTACGTTAATTGTGTCATTTGCTATTCCATTTGGGACTCGGCAACAGACGGAATGCCAAAAATACTTATCCTTTAATGAGATCACGACACGTATGCGAGACGCTAAATTACTTTTAGATTTGCTTAATGACATGCGCGACAAAAAGGTTTCTGAAATAGATAAGGCTGCCCACATACGACGAATTTAAAATGCTTTTGTTTTATTCTATACATATTTTAAGACCTTATTCATGTTTCTAACAGAGTAAGGTTGACTCAAGAACGGCTTTACCGATTTGGCTGAAAATTGGTGAGGAGGTAGCTTAGAGCCAGGAGACGGACATAGGATACTATTAATTCATTTTTTTTTCGAATTAATGCCTTGAAGAGCTGCTTTTTATTTAACTTACTAATGTTATAAATGCGCATGTTTAGATGTATGTGAAGTGGATGGATGGATGGGTGGGCTACAAGAATTAAGTTTTTTTTATATATCCACGCGGACGGAGTCGCGGGCAACAGCTTAGTAACTTTTATAAGCAAACTAAGTTTTGGTACAATGCCTGCCTTGGCAAGTAATGGTCTTAAAATATTTGATTCTTGTAAACTTAGATTGGTTATTAACAAATTTAATGTTGCACTATACAGGACGCTGCCAAAATATATTATTTATTAGTTAAGTATTGTTAGGAAGTAAATCCGAAAATGAGCCAATGCATTGATTCAACACTAGCCTTACTAAAAGTCGACGTTTGTGTCACACAATTCATTCTGACACTGAACTTTGTAACAAAAGCACGTCATTTGCGCCAAAGGATTCCAACTAATAATGTCTAAAAGAATAAAGTCCCGAATCGTTTGAGATATTTTAATAAATATTTGTATTATAGGCACTGCGCATTACGGGGAAGACAGCGTCGGATCTTTTCCATACTTTGAGTACAACGTTCCACGGAATGTGACGACTGTAGTCGGACAAACTGCTTTCCTACATTGCAGAGTTGAACAGCTGGGAGACAAAGCAGTAAGTTACAGACAATAATTTAATTATATTTAATTCAACTACTCAACTATCCAATAGTTGAATTTGTCGACTGACTACTTTAGTTCTCGATTAAATAAGAATTTACTAACTTAAATGATCTGTAGTTTACCTGAATAATTAAATGTTTATTGGCTCGACTGACAAAGAATATAATTAGCCGAATTATAAATAGCTTACCTGACAAACTATTAGATTAATTACCCAACTAAATCAGAATTCAATTATCTGACTGATTAGGAATTGAAAAGTTATACTGACCGACCAAGAAATAATTTGATTATGATTTTTAATAACTCATTTGTTTTGTAGGTATCCTGGATAAGGAAAAGAGATCTTCACATACTCACAGCTGGGATTTTAACTTACACATCGGATCAGAGATTTCAAGTGAGTTAAAATACAATTACCCACTAGCTGTTTTCCGCGACTCAGTCTTCGAGGGATTAAAAATAAAAGTTAATTCGTAACTTATGTGTTCTTTCAGACTATGTTCAATATCTATACCAAATTCCAAAAGAATGCATGCAATTCTAGATCCGTTCTGAAGATACCTTCTTATTTTTATATACTAGGTGTGGCCCGTGACTCCGTCCGCGTAGATTAAAAAAAATATTAGAAGCCTATGTGTTCTTCCAAACTATGATCTGCATATATGCCAAATTTCAATAGGATCCATGCAGCCGTTCTGGATATACCTTCTAACAAACATCCATCGAAACATTCGCATTTGTAATATTATTAAGAAGTGAGATTTAAATTATAACGTTTATGTAATCATACAAAAGTAGAAAGCGATATAAAAAACCCACACACTTCAATATTAATCAAAACATATTAAACCTAACTTCAAATAATACAAAAGCAAAGAAAGCTACAGATTGTACTCATATTGTATTGTTGAAGGTTATCAGACCAGATAAATCAGAAAACTGGACGCTCCAAATCAAATTCCCTCAGGAGCGAGATGCGGGCATTTACGAATGCCAAGTGAACACAGAGCCGAAGATGTCACTGGCATTCCAGTTAAATGTCGTCGGTAAGTCTTTGTTAAGGATACATTTGTGGAATTACCCTTGTGTTATTGAAACTTTGTCTACGTTCTCTATTTAAAAGGTGAATTGAGATTAAACCTCAATCAAAAAGAAAATCTCGTCAACAAAAATAAATTGCTATATTTCTTCGTTTAAGTAGGACTAATATAATAAGGTAAATGACGTCATTTTCGTAAGAAGGGGGTAGACTCGGATATGACGGCTGATAGAGATGTATGGAGGAGTAGTACATACTGTGCCGACCCTCGATAGGGATAAGGGCAGGTTGATGATGATGATGACGTCATTTTATGTTTTAGTATCTATTATTTATGCTTTGCCACTTAATTTTTCTATGACAAGGGTTACTTTCAGACTTTACTTATATAAATAAATTAATCCTTTTATACTAATAGTCTTAACTAGATGTTACCCGCGACTCCTTTGTCTCTCAGTGAGACCCATGTTTCCGTTCTGGAGATACCTTCTAACCAACATCCATCCATACAAACATTCGCATTTATTAGTAATAGGAGTAAACATCGTAATCGCTATAAATGATTGTAAAAATAATACGATGAATATATTTTTTTTATTTCTTAATAAATTCGTTATAAAAATAAACAAAAAAAGGCCAAGGTAGAGACTCGACAAGAACAAAACAAATTAAATTGCTCAATGACAATAGAAAATGAAGGCCGCGATAAAAGTTGCTCTGTTTCGCGGGATTAAATCTCGGTTCAAAAATTTGTTTTCTTCAAACAATATCTACGTTTTATCTTGCTTATATTATACGTCCTTACAACTTAAATGAAAGTATTTCATGTTTTTTTTTCCTTCATTTTAATAACCAAACAAACACCGCTTTATGAGGACGCGAAAAAACAAGGCAATCTTCTTTGTAATTTTCTTTAGCTGTTTCATTTTATAAATTTATGAACTGGCTGAAAAGAAAGTTAGTTTATATTTTTTCACGTTTACTTTTTAAAAGTAATAATAAAACGAAACAA